TTACAGAATGGATTGCATATAATCCTGAAAATGCGTTTTTCTTTCGTTCTAATTCATAGGCCGAAATTCTGAACTATGCTGCTTTCAACCTCCATCGGGCAATGGCAACTGCAATAGCGTCGTGTTACGAAGCTTTCACTTTCTCCGCTTAGCGCGCTCGCACCTTGGCAACATTCAACAAGAGTCACGTAAATAATATTTGATTAAATTAAATAAAAATAGAAAAAATATAATTTTTTAGATTGTTATATTTGTTGTCGGTTCCTCATACAGTACTCCCACCAATTCGAGACCCCTCTAATTCCGATACTTTTTTAATTCGAGACCTCTTTTATAAAGTACAAACTGACCACCTATCTTTTAAATTTCGAGCTCACCTTGTAATTATGAGACCCCTCTAACTCAAGACTGAGATCACTTTTATGAAGGTTTCTTATTTAGTGCCTTGAAATGGTAGCTTTTAAAAGCAAATGCCGTATGGCAGGTCGTCCGTAATATGTATCTATGTTTGTAAAACAGACCAATCACTAAATTAGGCCAGTTTGATTAAAACGATTTTATAAAAAATATCAATACATACATGACCCTGATTCCTTTTGGAAACTTAGGCAAGGATGTAAGGTTGTTAAAGTCCAGTATACTAAAAGATAGAATTTTTTTGTTAGAGTAGAATTAAACAATTATATTAGGTCAATAACGACTTTAAGTGGTGATTGGTATGAAATAAACAAAGAGGCAGTTTTTCAAGCACATAATTACAACATTGATATTACAAGTTGTATCAGTGTGAATTAAAACTCGAGAAATTACAATCAAATTTAACGCCAAAAAATCTTCGGGTAAAAGATGTACGACATTGCCTGTGCTAATATGCTATAAAACTTAAAATATCAGTTACACACGATGAATTTTTAATTTATTTTATCATATAAAATGTTACAATTTTGTTTTGTTTTGATCACTTCAAGATGTCTACTGATTCGTGAAAAAAGGGTATTTGAAATACGATAAACATGGTTAATGTGAACATTACCTACATCCTGAAGTGAGGACGCCTGTTGTATGCAGATAAAAGTGGATTCCACAGGCTGCATCATATTTAGTGGAAGGAGTTCTCATTCAAATTATATCATTATACGCAGGCTGCGTATATACGCACAAAAATGTGTCCACTTACATTATATTTAGGTACTGCAGTCGAAGCAACGTATCATTCGGTATCTCCAATATATTGTTCTTCGAAGCATCACTTAAGAGAAAAAAAAATCACTAATAATGTAGGAATTCAGAATGAGTCGTTATAAAAAAAAAAACGCATTAAGATAGGCTCCCAGGAAAAATTAGTGAAGCCCTTTAATAAATCGCCCTTTGACCAGCAAACCCAAACCCAAATAACTCATACATACAAAAGTTGTTTTTTTTTCTTGTATACCAAGCGGATGAATTTCTTTCAATGCCGTAGTCATCTCTTGGGACGGTTGGAACAGTCCTACACAAGGTTTCTATTGTTCCACAAAGAATTGGTGTACATTTTGAAAAATAGGTCCAAATTATGCAATTTTACACATAAAATGGGTCCACATTTTGGAAAATGGGTCCAGATTTCTCATATTTAGCATAAAATGGAAGATGGGTCCAGATTTTTCATATATTTGTCTAAAATGGGTAAACATTTGAGAAAATGGGTCCACATTACTCGTAAAGTAGGTCCACCCTGATATTGTCCCGCATTTTTCGAAAATTATGGCTACGGTATTTATTGCTCTTCTCCTTCACATTAAATACTATTTCTTACGATTTCAAGGAGTAATGGGACTGGGACTTTCCTTTCCCTCCCTCGCAGTATTGCAGTGAATTGAAAATCATTGCCTACTACATTTCAGCAGTGGCTTAACTAGGGGTGCGCAAATAGCCAAGATCCCACCTTATAACCTATGGGGTATCTTCTGGCAGGATTTTAAAGAAGCGAATATGAGTTGAGCTCCCTAATTAGCCCTACCGTTCAATTTAATTCAAGATAATACTACATTATTTAGCCAGATTTCAGCTAGCCCATGCTCCGGTATACCGCTAGGTTCGCCACTGCATTTCAAATAAAAATATCACCATACTTTCAATTGTTTGCGAAGAAACACCTCTACTTTTTATGTTAAACGACATGAAGACGGAAGTCGGGGTATTGTTTTTTTCAATTTTGCACTCACTTTTACATCGTAATACCAAAATGTTGGCATACCTACGAATAGCTAGATGATGAATGTTAACATTGTGACTTTAGGAATGGTATTAAAGTAGCACAAACAAATAATCATTTAGATCTATGGGGATGTATTTTAATTCGTAGTTTTGACTTTTCACATTGTTAAAAATAGTATATAATTAGGCTTATAGGCGAAGAAGCCTAAATTTAAAGAGATATATTTTTATTCTGAACCAAAAACCTATACAAACATCCCAACATTTACAATATTGTGCGAAGATTGGAATTTTTATAATTCAAGTTTGGTTTTAACATCTTAAAGGATGTCCGCACTCTTGAAGTGACTATTGACTCGGCAGCAGGTCTCAGCCTGCAAGTATCTAATGTTAGCATTGCTTTTAAGTTCCATCTAAGAAACTTATGGAGAATCAGGAAGTTCATAGATAGTGATACCTGCCATGCTGTTGTGAGGGCACTGGTTCTTTCAAGACAGGACTACTGCAATTCACTGTACAGTGGCCTGTTAAAGAAAGATATATTCACCCTGCAAAAACTTTAAAATTCTGCAGCTAGATTATTTTTTTCTTCTAAGTCACCAATACTGTTCATTGACCTATGTCACAAGGCATTTCTCACAGACTATTGGTCACAATGATTTGCCTTTTATGTCCAATTCCTGAAAATGTATTATTACTTTTTATTTGGTCTAGTTTAGATTAAAATTGACCGAAAATGCCCATACTCACCTTTGACCACAATACGAGTTATAACTCCGTAATTACTAGTTTTAGAGATCTGATTTTGGTATAATTTAGTTAGTAAACAAATCTATTCAATTAATATTATTAAACGTATTAAAAGAATCCATATCAAATCAAGTCTGTTTAAGTTTTAATATAATAATTAGTATATATATAATATATATATAATATATAATTTATATATAATATATAATATATATAATATAAATAATATATATGATATATATAATATATATAACATATAATATATAATATATAATACATAATATATAATATATATAATTGTATTTATTGTAAATATATATATATATATATATATATATATATATATAAAATAAATGATTTTTTTTTAATTGATTAAATGTG